CCCCAGCTCAGCCTCCTTCGCATCCCCGCCGTACGTGGCCAGAGCTGCGAGTGCAACCCGCACACCGCAGTTAGACCCGCACAAAACTTCGGTCGGCCGTTTCTCTCCCCAGGAGACGGGTGAAATGTAACGTGGAAGGGTAATTTAAAAACAAGCATTTATTACTGTTATTATTGCTGTTGTTGTGTTTTTAAGTGCTTGCTCTTCACTCTTCTCGGGTTCGCTGCAAGTTGCATACGTTTTGGTGTTGCTCGTTTCCCGTCCCTCTGTCTCCCCCCGACCAGCGTTGCATGAATCCCTGCGTTCTGACTTTGTCTTTATAGCTTTCTGTGAAATCCCGATGCCTGCTCCACGAAGCAGACATTTTGGGAAGATTCTTTATGAGAAAGGACGATTTATTGTTATTACTATTATGTTGTTAAGGAAAGGGACCACAAAACTTAATCCCTTCCCCCCGCCCCCTGGGAAGCAATCCACCTTTCATACCCTTTTTTTACACAGAAAGATGCATGAGCTGAATGGATGCAGACTGAAATCTATCACTGCTTAAGTTTCCTGTGTCAGACACGACCCGACAGTACCGGGATCATATACAAAATTGTGCAATACTGACATCTAAGTATGTCATAATCCTCTCTCTCTTCCTCAGCAGTATCATTACACCAGGTTAATTACATTAGTCACCTCCTGGTTCTATACATGTAGCTGCTCATTAATGCAACAATCATAAAAGAAAGAAATAATCTAATTCTTGATGCTACCGATTTTGTTTCTCTCTGATCGGATTCATTGTTCAGTGAAAAAGAGACCAGAAGAGCTGCTTTAGGTTCACTGCTGTTCTGTGCGGGTGAGCGGGGCTGAGGAAAGGGGGTGCTGGGAAGTTGAACCAGTTGGAGGGCTTCAGCCACGTTGCAATTTCATAACTGCATTTATTTCGCCTCCTTTCTCCTTCTCTGGGTGCAGACTGGGACTGCTCTTTCAGGACAATCTCCCCCAGGACTGTTGCACATGAAGGGCTCTATAGCAAGCAGCCGGGGGGCCATTGGCTGCCCTACAGACCACTGATGGTTTCCTCAATTTGGAGGGCACAGACCAGGCTGCCCTTGCAGATGAGACTGAGATAGGGGTGTTTACCAGCAAGCACTCATGGTGTCTGGCATCAGCCATATGCAGATCACCACCAGCAGGCACGAAAGGCCCTGGGGGAGGCAGGAGATAGAGGGAGGGGTGGTAGGAGACAGTGCAGGTTGAGACCACTGACACAAGGTTGAAGAACAACCACAGTCCCTAGCCTCACCTGGGGGACTCCTGGCCTTGCCCTCTGCCACAGGAGCTGGGGGTCTCTTTCTGCACTTACTGAGCTGCCAAAGAGCTGAGGATGGGCAAGGGGGCAGGTGGCCCCAATGCACCTTTAGCACTCTGGGTACAGCCTGCTGCAAGAGTGTGGAGGATGGTAGCTGTGGACAGGCTCTCTGAACTGTTGTTCTTGGTTCAAAGGAGTTTGAGAGGCAGAAAGATGCAGAGAACACCCCTAAACTGGTGGGAGATTATGGTTCTACAGGGATGGCCTGTGGTGAGGAGGAGGCTCTGTGAGGCTCTTAACTGGGGAAGCTAGAGAATATCACTCGAGGACCTCTCCTTCCCTTCTGAGACATTTTCACTGAAAGAAGGAAGGGGCCTTGAAGAGGGAAGGCAAAAGGGAAGAATAAGTCATTCTTGGGACTCTGAGCCATTTTCTTTTTCTGTTGGTGGTCGTACCCCTCCAACACCACCCCAGTATTCAAGTCTTCTCATTCTTCAAAGGAGGGTAGAAAAGCTGGGCCAGGAGCCTAAAAGACTCTGAAGAGGAAAAAACTTCAGCTGGCTATTCTGGCACCCAAATCCGTCAGGCACCAACACTGCATGTGTGGATGAGAAAGGCACTCTGGAAATCTGTGGAGCTCATAGCTCCAAGGAAGGCAGACTCCTCAGTTACTCTGTACTCTCAAAAACGTGTGGCACAGCCCTTCTAGTAATGCCACACAAGCAACCTGGGTGGAGCGGAAGCAAAAAGGTCTCAGGCCCTTTGAAAGCTCACCCATGCTCACACAGCAGGGTCATTCAAAGAGGAGAGGGAGAGAAGGGGTGACGCTATGTGTTTTCACTTGGGGCTCACCTGTGTAGCCCATGTGGCTAAGTGTTTATTTTACTGCTATGAACAGTAGTGCTGCTTTGGGTCAAGGGTATGCTGGGCTGCACAGACAGAGGTTATCTCCGGGTTGAGGAGCTTGCTTCTGTTGGTACCTGAGTCTAAGTGAGACTAGTAGGGTGAGCAAGCAGTCACTGCAGAGGTTGTGGATTTGGGCTTGCAGGGGACCTCAACACTGTGAGAAATTACAGATTTCATTTATAACAAGAAAAATATTGCTGAAAATGTCAGGTTTACTTATCTTTCCATTTAACAAATCCAATCAGATACAGAGGATGAAGCAGCAGCTGGGCCAAAATGGAGACCCTCAAACCAATCCGGAACTGTTGCCTTTATTACATATTTCTACAGCTTTGACAAGTTTGGGTTCAAGTGACTACAGCAACAGGAGAGGGGCCTCTTCTCCTCAAAGAAACTGCCAGTGTAAGAAGGCCAGGTTTGCAGGGTGGTGAGTTCTTTAATCTCTGGCTAAGAACTGTGAGATCTGTGAGGGCTCAGTACATCTCAGGATCGGGACTAAACACGGCTTCCTGCCTCACGCTTCCCGATTTCCAGAAATAATTCTCTTCCTGCTACCCTGCTTATATACTCTTAGACCATTCACAATAATCCCTCTACGGTTCTAAATGCCACAGGAGAAGAATGGAACACAGGCAATGCAAATGCCAGAATGTCCTGTGTGACTGCTTGTGCTGTGGCTAGATGCTGTGCTGAGATTTCATCTTTCCTACAAAGGATCATTAAAAATGATAATACAAAACAAGAATACAAAATAAAAACGTTGTGGCAGATTTTTACAACAGTCACATCTTACTGAATAGCGCAACACAGAATGACATCTATAAAAGAGTAAGGAGAGAGAAATTAATAGTCTGGAGGAAATAGAGAGATTTTAAATTACATTTTAAATTACTTGAAATGAGAAGCTGATGAGACAGGGAGCCGCAGGAAGTCTGCTTCCAATGGCAAACCAAGAGTGCTGCTATTTGTGGAGAGAAGGGGCAGTGCCGTAGGAAAAAAAGGGGCACAAGGAAGACGCAGGAAGGGAGATGAAGGGCACGGAGTCGGAAGCAACTCCATGGGATGGTAATGGAACGGAACAGAGTCTTTGTGCATTGAGTGCTGCAGTGGAGCTTTTCAGCACATAGGACAAAATCAGACAGCGATAGTATATGAAAACTGGTATCTAGGAATCTTCATCC